TTGTTTCTAAGTGAGCAATGCTGAAAATAAACTGAGAATGCAAGATAGAAAAAGATAAAGAGGAAGTACTTACAGCATGCTGGCGGGCTAAGGGAGTCTGTGAACGCCCCGTACTCTCTAACTGGCTCGGGTTGCTAGCCCGAAGCCGTGTGTACGAGATCGAAGGAGTGATCAAGCCATCGAAACACGGATACCGGCCATTCTTCTTCCCCTGGATGGCCACCACCGCCGTGTCGTCGATCTGAGACTGGGCGACCTCAGCAACAGGAACATCCGGATGCAACTCCTGATAGTGATGAATGTAAGACCCCAGGTGCTCCTCGGTCTTGCCGTAGTACTGGCTCTCGCCCTCCTTGCGATGACTCCGCTCGCGGGCCAGCTTCCACGACTCCATGTTTGAGAGCGGCCTCTTCAACTTGTCCTCCTACAACGTCAAATAGAAGTCAGCCATACATAAGAACATGACGTAAAGAAGAACAAAAATGCATCATGCACATAGATATACCTTCATGGCCTTGAAGCCCCAGTGGTTCCTGTTTCCTTGGCCGTGTGTCCCGTCGTCTCCACGGTTAGCCCGGGCCTTGATGCTCTTGGCAGCAAACTCTGCATCGGCGTCGAGCCACCTATCCACCAAACTCGCCCATCCGTCATGCCTTCCATAGCACCAACGAGGAACAACCTATATCGAATGACTTCCATGCTTCACCTCCTGATGGACGTACAATTTTTTTTGGATTGTACCTTTTCCCTTCCTTGTGCCACTTCATCATTTTGGCAGACTCCTCGGTGATGAAAAGCGCTGCAGTCTTTTTATAAAATCAAGATACCGAAGAACCTTCACAGGGATTTTTAGCTGCTGCTTCTGACCATGCTTATCGACCACCTCAATATACCGAGAGGAACCGCACTTCCTACAGTACTTGTCATCCGCATACTCATGCCTAAACAAAAGGCAATTCTTTGGACAAACATGTATTTTCTCATAGTCCATCGAGAGCGCCTTCATGATTTTCTTCGTACCGTACATGGTTTTCGGCAGTTCATGGCCCTCAGGCAGGCTGTTAGCCCATACTCCCAGAAATGCTTCGAAGCAACCTCGGCTACAGCCGTACTCAGCCTTGACTGCCATCAGTTGCGAGATGGCATCCAGCACAGACAGCTTGGCACCCTCATAGAGAGGTTTCTTTGACGAGGCCAAGATTTCCAGGAAGGCCTTTGCGGTTTCCTTCGGCTCCTCCGGTTCATTCGCTGAATGTGACGGAGGTGTCGGCTGTGCAGCAAAGACATCATCTAGCATGTCTCTAACCCCACCGTCCTCATAATCAGTGACGCGTTGTCGTATCACATCCTCTCTACCACGGTCCCGCTGGGCAAAGTTTATCGGCATATTAAAGTTGGGCATAAATCCATGCGTGCGAAGGTGCTTAGTCATCTCACTCTTATCTCTGCGAATACACCTCTTACATCTGGCACACGGGCATTCTGGCACCATCCTCATTGGACTACGGAATATCTCTTTCAAAAACACATCAGTTTTCTCGACCCACTCTGTTGTTACTTGATTCCGACGGAAAAACCCACTATACATCCACTGATTATCTGCCATCTCTGCTTTATTGGAAGCCACACAACAAAATTAAGGATTCATTTAAATTACTCACATCAATATTTTATTTTTTACAAGGTTGACGAGAAACGACATTTAATCCACCTACATCTCTAATAGGTAAAGATGGGTCCTAATCCCACCCGAGAATGTGTAGATTGAGTACGTTGTCCATGCTCTACCCCATTCTGAGACAAAATTTCGGCAGCACCTCCCCGCTGTTCTCCAAATACACGTCTCGGCAAAATGCCGAGAGAATGTGCATCCGGAGAACAATGGGGAGGGGCCGCTGAAATCCTGTCTCGGAACGGGGTAGAGCATGAACAACGTACCCAATCTACACATCCTCGGGCTGTCCGTGGAAAGCGCTGGACAATCCGAAAGAGCTGCGGTGATAAATATGCAATTGAATGCATATTTATCGATGCAACCCTTTCGGACGGGAGACCTAGGTTATGCGATTTGATGTGAAAATTCAATCTAGTGACATGGAAAAAAGTGGACGAGGTCATGGAATTGTTGCTCACCCTCCGATGTAGAGGATGTAGTCGATCAAAGGAGGGACGATCGTGGACAAACACCACCAACGTGGATGATCACTCCATGAAGATGGAACACCACAAATCCTGTTAATTCCACCGAGTGATGAAAATTTAGGTCATCACCTCACATTAAGCATTGGCACAACATTATGAATGAACATGAAACAACATGTCAAATTGTAAAAAAAAACTCTAAACCCATTCCTACTCCATTCCCTCTCTCCCCCATTCTTTCTCTCTTATAAAAAAACAAACGGAGCTCGTTCATACTCCATTATCTTCCCTCGCTCATCTCTTTACATGCACATATTGAAAAACTTGAGCAATATCTAAGTGTCCAAATTCACAAAATTGAGCAATATCCATCAATGCATCCATCTATCACAAACTTCACCATCAATCTATACATGCATGCATATATCCATTCATCACATGTCCATCTATGCAAAAAAAAAACAGTAACAAAATGCAAAAAAAATTAAAAAAAATCTCACCTTGGCCGCGCCGGTGCAGCGGGCAGCAGGGAGGCCGGGGGGCAGCCGCCGGGGAAGGGTGGACGGGGCCGGCCGGGGCGTAGCAGGGCGTCGGCGGAGGGGCGCAGCAGGGCAGGGTGGACGGCGCCGGTTGGTGCAGCTGGACAGGGA